TTCAGATATGAAAGAGTTTAGGACTTAAATTAACTGGGAAGAAGTCTGACCTTCTTAATATAACCTTGATTGCTTTGACCTCCCTGCTACCAGCTACTGCTTCACAAAAACCTAAACACAGGCAAGACTCAAGAATGTGCATGCTAATCAGTGTCTTGATAAGGAATGTAACACCACTACCATAAAGACTGCTGGATGACACCCAAACTTAATAGAACTGTCCACGTATTTATCATCTCAACCTCATCTTTAAGTATGCATAATTCCATCAATTCGTCTGTGCATATTCAAGAGATACAGGCCACAACATCAAAACGAAAATGTCTTTGAGAGAACAAAATTTTGAGTTGTCAATTACATCCAGCTACAAAGACTTATGACATTTAAAAGCCCCCTGTTTAAGTTTCAGGAATGGTTCACAGAAGTCTACTGCAATCTCCACATCAATGGGCTTCATGGCTAAAATAACTTGATGGATTTTACAGTGGTTATCTTCAAGGACACTGGGCAAAACCTTTTTCTTCTCCTACCCTAAACACAGTTTAATTCTTTGTGCACCTTAAACACAGTTTAATTCTTTGTGCTTCCTATCTGTCTCTGTGTCCACTAGACTATTTCCCCATCTTAGATTTCTAATATATGCATGATATACATAAATTGCCTGTCTGTGCTCAAGAAGCATTTGGACAATCCTCTGAGATGTATGGTTTAATTTTTAGGCTGCCCTATGCAGAGTTTGGAGTTGGACTTGATGATCCTTGAGGGTACCTTCCAACTCAAGGGATTTCAATGATTTATGTGGGAAGAACATACACACAATATTGTGTAGCTTAGGTTGAAATTTGAACTCATCCAAGACTATCTCATTACTATTGAATTTATAAGTTCTTACAATTAAGCTTTTTCTCATTTGGAGTTATGTTCAGGATAATTATGAAGTTCATAAATGAAGAAACAGCCAGCGTTTCAGAATGTCAAGTACTTCATCTTGCATAGCACTGACAAGAAAGGTAGACTAACCAATTACAGCTTCTTCCTCGTACTTTTAACTGTGTGAATTTTTTTTATACTTTTTCTATGTAATAAAATCAAGGACTATGAACCACTGAGTAAACTCAAGAAATAAAACTATTTATTTCTATTTTCCCATTATAAATATGCATACATCTCATTTTATAAGCATCTGTCTCAAAACACACTGTTAATCTGAGACCTACTTCACTCTGTGATCCAATACTATATTTACTATGTCAGAATACACCACCGGGCAGTAGGGTAGCAAAGATGATAGCGTATTAGCTATCAAGTTACAATGACTTTCCTGTTATCCTCAAGTAACATAAAGGCACACACTCTCTCACATTGCTGTCAGTGGATCTTTCCTCTGGCATTATCTGCAGAATAAAGGATAGCCGCTATCCTGTATTCTTAGGATAGCTTGCACACAATTTAGGGTAAGATTACTTTTAGCAACAATCATGCTGTCCATGAATAAGAAGTCACTGAACTTTTCTCCTGAAGCACAGTTATGCAGTTATAATTACTCATTAAATCATCTAATCCATCTCATGCCAGAGAACAGCAACAAGCCTAAATTGTCCCTTACAATGAGAACACATCTGCTACAGTTTGCAAAATCATATGGTGGGTGGAGAAAAATAATGCTAGTTTGGGAATCAGTCAATCAAAAAGTTCATTTAAATATGGGCTGGTGACAAATGTATGCCAGATCAATATGACACTGTCAAGTATATGCATAACAACATTATTAAGTCAATCATGTGTCATTGTGTCATTTCACTGGAAACTGCAGAATGAGTTTAATAAATACTACTTCCTCTGAGAAATAGGCTACCAAATTACATCTGGAAGTTATTTTTAAATGAGAGCTTAAAGAAAAAAATAGGTAGTGCCTGTGTCCCTCCATTTAAATATGGTGCACATCAGAAAACAGCTCTACCTGGAGCTATGGGATTATGAATGCAGCACAGCTCTAATTCTCAAATAAACAAAGGGTAGCTTCAGAACATTACATTTAACATGTCACATCTGAGCATTTCAAATTCATGTGAATACTAAGGCCCATCTAAAGTAGAAGCAGCAGCAGCTTAAAAGATACAGTTTTCTTCATATAAGCTTCCAAACCATAAGTATCCTTAGTGAAAACAACTAAAATTGTATTTAAAAAGCCTAGAAAATAGTACACTAACTTCATATGAAATTATAAAAGTTTTCAGATCTGCTTGTTCTCACATATGTGAAATAGAAAAGTTGAAAAGGGTTGATTAAATAGAGCAGGCAAGCACAAAGAATAAGTGAAGGGAGTTTCTTGTGGGCTCTTTGTTTTTAAAAAAATGACTGGTGCGCTATCATCTGCTTTAGAAATTTATAGTGCTGTAAAAAATTGTGCACAAAGACCTTAGGAAACATTCAGCTTTGACAGCAGTTGAGAGTCTCTGCTAGAAGACAGAACATGAAGTTTCACCTGCACTAGGTTTCTTTAGCTGTTAATCTGGAACAGCTGAGTTGATGACATTTTCTAGAACACCCTAATATAGACTAACAGAAGAACTAACAAAAAGCAGCTTCAGGTATACTACAACTAATCTCTCCATACTGCTAAACAGCTATTATGATACACACCACCTTTCTAGCGGATCAGCTAGAGTCTGTTATAAAGCACCATCAACATGATTTCTCTGTACTTGTACACTATTTTCCTCCCCCAACCGCACCAGACAGCTGTATCTGTAAATCAAATGAGGAAACTAGGAAAATTCTATAATTATATAACTGCTACTGAGATTAAAAGCAAGCATAAAGAACAGGAATTCTTCTCTCAAAAAGAATATAAAAGGAATTCATTCAGAGACCTGTATACAAGATACAGATTTGAAAAGACAGAATAATAGTTTCCAATTTATTAAGTTAGGACACAAAGAAGAGGTATGAGGGCATCTCCTGACTTTGAAATTATTTGTACTTCTGAACCAGTTAGGTCACTGAAGAAAACCCTAGGCTCAAATACCATACAAATCCATAACGCAGCAAACAAAACCAGAACTATCTGAGACTTCAGCTGATTTCTGACAACAGGAAAAGAAAAAGGAGTAATCTGTGTTTGTGCAAATGACTTTTTTTTTTTTCAAGATATATCAAAGCTGACATGTAGATCACTGAGGAAATCAGTATTTCCACTGAAGCAACTAATGCTATCTAATTGTCAGCCAGGCAACTAACAATGTTTTCTGTAACAAGAGATTAAGACCATCTCAAAGGAACTTTCCATACAGACTACAGCAGATGTTTATTTTCTGACTTTAGTACTGTTTCTGCCAAAAATATTGTGAGATTAATTGGTTCTAGCAGTTGCATACAAAAAAGGCTATACTTAAATATCAACTCTGCTGCCTTAAAGCATACAGGGGAAGTACATGGCATGGGCTGTGCATCAACCAACACCACTCAACCAGTTCTTCAGGAGTTGCACCAAGGATCTATGACTGTTCTACAAACATGAAGAGGTTCACTTTCAAACTGCCAAAAGGTAATGCAACACTTTTGCAAACCTAGCATCAACCTGTACTACAAACAGATCTTTTTCAACAGTAAAGGATTTTTCTGGTCTCCCTAGTCCAGAAGATATTCTTGTCACCAGCCCCTTGAACTAGCGATTTTTAGAACTAAGCGTTAAAGGCAACACTTGATGTCTTGCAATGTTCCTGGAAGTTCTATATAGTTTAGGGGAAAGTGAGCAGCAATTTGCAGTGCTATGGATACTGCATTTTTGACACCATGTAAAAAAAATTTTCCTTTTTTTTTTTTTAAAGACAATTCAATGTAACCAGTACCAGTCATTTTAGTCTAAAAACTTTGTCACTGCCAGTATAAATAGTTTTGAATTACTTGCATTTGTAGTCTGGACCTAGTGTTTATAGTATGAATCAGCTTAAGGGCCCTACAGCAGTCGGTACTGTAGCTTCAACACGCCTTCAAAGCAGACAAAGTACAGGGAAGTAACAGCCAAAATTAGTTCTTGTACTACAGCATCAAAAACATACAGGGACTTTTTCTAGGTCACTTTTTTATAGTATAGGTAGTACTTCTCAACACACATGAAAAGAATATAACACTGGCAACATCAAGAAGCAGTTTTCTCCATCTCAAGGCTACAGAGCTTACAGAGACTTTCTACCTGCAGTTCATTATACACTTAATACAATTTTTTCCCCTGTTAGGAAAAGAGAATCTGTTTGGGCCAAGCTAAATTGGAAGCATGGAAGGACTTCCAGTTCCAGAAGTGAATGTTTAATCAAGACATTTATTGTTACAATTAGTTCCTTAGTTGTAACGTCTACTGCAAGAGCCTGTCAATCCATTCAGGGCAGCCTGACTGCACATTTATTTTCCTCCAACATCACAACCCTCACCATCAGGATGAATCCTCTTACATACACTGCAAACATCCATTCAGTGAAAGATTAGCATAATATTAAGGCCATGTGAAGTACAGAAATGAACAGCACTGAATGTTTTATTGTGTAGCCATTTGGTTACGTGCAAAAGGGAACAACCCAGCCAAGACATCTGGCACAAATTACCATCATTATGATTTTTTTCATAATTTTAAGAACTCTGGTCAGCACCTGCATGTCAACATGGAAGTCGCAATGCACTTCCAGGGCCTACTCTTAAGGAAAGCCAGTCTGGCAAGACTGAAGAACCAACATACCAATCTGCTTTGGCACAAAATTAAGCGGGCACAGAATACTCCACCTTCCTTATAAAGCTCAATATTACAAGGCTAAACATCCAGATTAATTTTTTTTTAAAATGCAAAGGGCATATTTGAAACAATATTCCTCCCTCTGCTCATAAACCTAGTATGACAGTCAAAACATACCACTCTACCACTTGTAGCCGGCTATTCCCTTTTCCTGTCCTGGCTCAAAGAAGCTGAAAGCATTAAGTCATATTCACAGCTGTCCCGATTCACCTACCTGATATAGGGATCCCTCCCAGACCTGTGCTGTGTTGTGGTGGGAGATTCAAGTCCAAGAAATTACTATTTGAGGTGGGATTTGCTGTGTGGTTCAAGTGCATGATGCTATTGCGTGGGAAGGCCATCCAAGGATAGCGAGCTGCTTGGCCTGGAAAACTGAAGGAGTTGTAAACTGCTCGATGCTGTTGAAACTGTGGGAACCTCTGTGGCATGACTGGAAAGGTGCTACTGAGAGAGTTGGCATTTGTGGGTGCAGCAGGATGCAGGAATCCAGAGCCTGGCCCTTTGGCAGCTGTAGTGTGTGGGGTAGGGTTCTGAAGAGATGTGGGCGAGAGGGAAGGTTGGTCTTGGACTGACAGTTCCTTCTCAATCAGGTCTGCTAAGGCTTTGCGGGTGATGTCAAAGGGGTCAAACCCTAAGTCGTCCTCTTGCTGTTTGGAGGAACCAAACCCAAAAGCCGCTTGCCAGTCTGTGGAGGAGGATACTGGTATAGTCTCTGTCGGAGATGAAAGTAACAGGATTTACAACAAGAATTAGTATTTATCCACACAAAAATTTCAGCCTCAGTGAATTTATGTTGCCAGTTATCTTTCATATAATATTTCTTTTTACATTCCCCAAAGACACTTTATTAATCAGCTTAGAATGCCATTTTCAGATCAAATTGCATAGATTTCTATCTAAAGGTGAAGCGGTAAAACCAGCAAATAGTATTTTTACTGCAGAATCGTTCTGTTCCCAAATTACAGAAAAGCCTTGTCAAAGAAGTATTTTCAGTAATAGCACCAAGTAGAAAGAGACCAATAAACACTTGCTTAGAACATCCTTTACATCCATATTACTTGATGGAAGTGTGACCAAGCAGAGTCTAAATAAGGTTGTTGTTCCATTCAGTTTTTTGTTTTCAGCATTAATGCTGTACTTCATCTCTGCTATGCGAGAAAGGGGGGGTAGGACATGTTCCCTCTCAAAGGGGGAACCTCCAAGCAGTTAAAAAACACAAACCCAAAACCCAAACTGTCTACCATTATGAAGAAAAACAAGCCAAATTCTGAAGTAAATGCCTTGATAAAACAAAAGGCAATAAGGAACTGCATTACAAGATATTGTTAAATATTTTGAGGCACTGTTGCAATAAAGGGTTATCACAATTTCCCTGCATTTTCAATCACTACTTCATTTCATTATACTGTTTAAGTTTCTTATTCAGGTTCAGTGAATGCTGGGTTTAGTTTCACAGTATTTTTCCTCAAAACTGTGGTAAGGCAGCTGGTAAGTACAAGGTAGTATCACTCACAACATTAACTCCCTCTGCTGGTAGGGAACCTGGTCTGTTGCTTGAAGCAGTAAAAATTAAGCTCAGTATCCTCTCTTGGAAGACAAATGTACACTTCTATTTTCTTTTACACTTCTATTTTCACTCAAAAAGAGCTGCCAGCCAGACAAAAACTTATCCTTTGTATTCTTATTTAAATAGCAACCATACATTTTATATTAATTATTTTATATTAATTATGAAACAAACGAGATCTCTACTACCTGGAAATTGTCTCTCACTGCTACTTAATCCTCACAAAAATTGGTGCATATAGTACCTTAGCAGTGGGTAATTTCCTTGGTAATATATATTGTTTACAAACAGGAAGTGAGATAAAAATCAAAAGACAACTAATCACTAAGTAAACCAACTGTATGCTCAAGCATAAATTACATTCTATTAATTTACTGATATTGTTTAATTTAATTTTCTAACACCTCCCTCAGATTTATAATTTGTGAGCTCAAATACTGTTAACCATTCCCAAGACTATATAAATACACCTAAAAACATTTAATTCATATGGAAAATACAGATATCTTTCAGTTGATGCAATTAACCATATTTTTATCTTTTCTGAATGTATATAATCTCACTTCAGAAAGAGAAAGATTAGGCATCTTCAGATAACCAGGCAGGATACTAAAGAAAATTCTGAATTCCACTGCACAGCTTCTGGTGTTAGAATTACAGATTATAATAGATTATTAGACCAATATATATTGACACCACATGTTTTCCCCACCGTCAACAAAAACCTGTAATGTTAAATATTATGTATACATGTCACATCCTACTACTTAGACAGGCACATGGCTAAGAAAAACTAAGCTAAACAGTCTGATCATTTAGCCATGCAGCTGGAAAGCTCTGTAAAGTTTCTTTTAGAAGAAACCCTTACCTCAGTGCAATTCATTTCATTTGTAGTTCAGCAACAAATTTTAATCATTTGTGAAGGGGGAAAAAACCAGTATGGAGCAAGTCCCACAGTTTTTGATTCTACACAGTTTTAGACATCAGTTGCAAAAGCAAGCAATACCCAGTCATGTAACCTGTGTACGTACCTGATGTGAAGAGGCTCTGTGGTTCTGGTGCTGTGGGCCAGTCATTTGAAGTCTGTGGAGAGCTGGGGAATGGAGGAAGCCCACTAGGGATGGGGTTAGGATGCCGAAAGTTGTCAGAGAAGAGCGACTGTGATTCTGTTACAGCCCCTTCAAAAGGAGACCGTGCACTGTGATTAGATGAACTGATGGGTATGACTGGATTGGGTTTTGTTAAACCAGGCGGTGGTGAAGGTGTGTCACTGTTTGTTGTCTACAGGCAAGAGAGGAAGAGAAACAATTAGGACGTGTGTTTATATACAAGATATTCTTAACTAATACAGTTGAAAAATTTCCTCAAAACTTTTGTCTGCTATTAGGTTAGCTAATATATAGCTCAGTACAAGGTCAAACATAAAAATCAACTTAGCAGTAGGATTTTTTAGTTTTGTTTAAAATTCTGATAAACTTCAGAAAGTACTTGCTTCTCTAACTACAAGTTGCACCAAGGCCTCAAACTCAATTCTTACTTTCACAGCATTTGTGTCTTACCTGCTGGGAGCTGTCACCATTTCCTATACTGAGGGAATCTGAAGGTTTGTCGATAGGGCTGCAAAAGTGGGAGGGGAAAAGAGACAATAAGACACTCAAGTATTTAACTTGAAAATCAACATTTGCTTTCTTAGTGGTAGAAAAGCCTTTAAATAAAGACAAATCAAAATTAATTAGAAGGAATTAAGAAGGAAAAAAGTCCACTTAGACTTTTTTATATCATAAGCATTCCAATCATTTGCCATATACTGTAATACTTCTCACCACTCTCCACTCTGCTTGTTGACTGCCCTGTTAAGGAAAAGTAAAGTTTTAAACATGTCCATAGTAACTCTATGCCATTCAAAAAAACCCCAGGACTCTTGTACTATGGCAGTATTCTGTTTGTAGTCAGTTCCATCTATTCTACTACTGGAGAGAAACTTGGGAACAGGTTGTTTTCCAAATACCTAAATTGTCAGTTCCCAGATAAGTCCTAAATAAATCTGGGGAGAGATAAGACATTAAATGAACTATTTAGTCATGGTGGCAAGTTAAGCTTCCCACCAGCCTTCAAGCTTTAACTAGCAGAAATTAGTTCCAAGGTGAGAAAACTGAGTTTTGAGATGACAGAAGGGTAAAAATGCAGGAAGAGACACAGCGTAAAAAACCTGCCAACAAACTTAGAGAATAAAAGTTAAGATACACCAGAAAACCACCTCAGAAAGCTATTCACTGGGAATTAACATGACTTGGTTGAAATGGCACATCTCATGATTCAAGATTCTGACAGGTATCTGTGAGCAGCCTTAATTATGCTAAATATCACACTAATGAAACAGTATTAGTTTAAGTTCAGATTAAGATCTCTGCTTTACAACTTCAAGGTACTTTCATCTTTATCTACCCATGAGAGAAAATGCACAAGCATCAGGCCACAGCCCAAAACACTGGTCCTGCAAACAAGAACCAGAAGAACATAAATTGTAGTTCCATTACGAGGCCAGAATGTGATACAAGTCAAATTACAGGCATGATCTGTTAGCACAAGACAAATATAGTAGGTGCAGACTTCAGATTCTAGCTACATCTTGTTTTCAAATGCCCCTTGCTACTGCAAAGTTTAAATATTGCATAGAGCCACGTATCAAGGTCAAAAATCCATAAGATGGCTTCCACTCATATTTGTTCTCCCCAATCCAGAATAACTAGTCAAAACCCAGCAGAATTAATTCTTCTCCATTCTAAGGAAACTGTGTAAGAGTAACCTGTCAATAACAAAAATTTTTGTGCTAAAGAACACTGATTGAGTCAGTATCTCAAACAGATAACTGAAGTATTTATGGCCATAAAAGAAAAGTCAGAGGAATATACTTGCAAACAAGCACTACTCCAGTGAAGACTTACAAATACTTTCTACTCAGTGGTTGAACACCATGAATAAAGTTCTTCTTGTTTGGAACAAACTGCCTTGGATTAGTAGTTTCTGAATACCTATAGCACAAAAGTTTGCTGTAGACTCTTCACTGCACAATCATTCTGACTGTAGAGCTTATATCCTAGACAAATTATTTTCCCAAAGCCGTTGACACAAAGTCAGAACACACACAAAGTCAGTTTAAAAAGCTATATGTAATGACAATTTAAGTGCTGAAAATAATGTTTATTATACTGGAACCTGCTTAAGGAGCCTTTAATTGTAAGACAGGCTTCCAGTCCTTGGGAATGAACAAGATTCATTACCTACTGGCTACAATACTTTTACCTACATTTATTAGCTTCTTTTCAGAAAAGATAAGGAAGCTGCATGTCATACTGAGATTCAGCCATGGGATCTCTGATCACACCTCAACAGGACTGCTACAAAGACTAACAAGAAGGTATCACTTTCAACAGCACTCACAATGTTAATGCATCAGTTCAATACTGATTTAAAAGGAAGATCAGCTACCTAACGGGTAACACCACTTCTTGAAATATTAGGGTTTACCTTGTTATTTTCCCATCCAACCTCTGAATAAGCCCAACCTGTATTACCTAAGGGCATCCATAAAAAAAACAAAACAGTATGACTGCAGACTACCATCAGAACCACAAGTGATGCTTACAACGGAAGAGGACACAGGTTCTATTCAAAGAGGGCACCAAAAGAAGAAAAAATGTTGGTTAGCAATAAGGAAGTTACTGCAAGCAGATGAATTATTTCCTCTGCACAAAGAAGCCTCAGTTGAATCTGCTGCCTTGTTGTCCCTGTTACTGAATGATAATCAAGGAACCCTTTCCTCTGCAGTTGTGTTTCTGGAACACACCACTGTAAAAAGATGACAGATACTGAGCCCTAACATTTAGCCACCTTCTGTTGAAGGTTTTCCAAGTGACAAGCCTCCTGATGTATATAGCAACTAGCATGTTACTGTTGTGGAAGCTTCTGTATAGAAATCAAGGGCTCAGCTCTGGCTGGGACCATGCAGCTATATAAACTGTTGATCCCCCTGTTATTCAGTTCCCCTCAGCCCTTACCTGTACCACCACTTACTAACTTTGTGTTAGGGTTCTCCTGCACAATCCGCCAATCAGTCTTTTTGACATGGGCAAGGCTAAGCCCAGCTTTTCTGACCTGATCAGGATTTGAATCCAGCTCTCCAAAACCAGAGAGAGTGAGAGACTGGAGAATCATTCCCTCCACACCAATCAGTGAGAGAGAAAGCAAGCTATCTGAAGTATAAAAGGCAGCACAATTACCCGAAATCTGAGTCTGCACCATCTGGAGTCATGTGTTCTGGGTCTGTGCCATTTTCTAATATAGGAGGCGTTTTCCTGTGTTCCATTGTTAAACCGTTGGCTGATTTACTTGAACTCTGTAATGATGGCCAGGCATCTTTGTTATTACTGTTGGGTCTGGAAAAAGGCAAAAGTAAAAAAAAAAAAAAAAAGAGTTCAAGTTATGAAGAAAGTGTTTTTAAAAAATTGTAAGCACTGGGGAAATGAATCCTTGTGCCAGACAATCCATAAGAATAGATTTATCTGGATATTATTTCTCAGATTTTAAATGGTGATGACTTAAAAAAAAAAAGAATTAGTGGGGTAGGGAGGGGAGAGAGAAAAAGTGGGGGAATTCTGTTTTCTTCACTGAATAGATAGCTGCTATGCCAACACTGAAGTCCAAACTTGTCCATTTGGGGGAGAAGGCGGGGAGGGGGTGTGGGAATCCATCAACAGCTTCAAGTAGCCAAACCTACACTCACCTCCTTTAGGATTATTTACAGAACTTACAAATATTTACGGGATAAAGCAAATCTTGAACTAAATAATTTTTCTTAATTTAAATAAATGCCTTATATTCCAGGCCCCCTCAAGCCTGGCCCCAAGAGATGAAGTTTGTGTTTCACACCTACACAAGAGTCCACAGCTTTACTAACATACCATGAGACCAGTCAGACCAACCCACTGTTCATTCAAGTTACTGCTCCTTTCATTTCTACTTTAAAGCCATCATTACTTCCCTTTTAGAAAGTAACATTAAATTTCATTTCAGAGTGCACATTAGATCTAAAAAAAACTTCGAGAGGACTCAAAGCCCAAGATTTTGCTGAAAATAGTTATATTTTATACAAATTGAAGCTAGCTGGACTATTATCTATAACTGAATGCATTCAAATACAGTGTCATCAGCCAACCCTACAATCTTACTATGAAAGATTTGCCTTTGCATTCTCCAGTTCTTTTATACGAACTTTATTTTTTCGTTTGCTTCAATTAGGATGCTGATTTTAGGGTCCAAGTGCTGTCTTCATAAGGATGAAGCTTTCAAAACTTTTTTTAAATACGTACCTTCCTCCTGATGCCCCCCTTCATTAATATGTTCTTATTACATGGTCCAACATTTACCCTACATCTCTAGGTCAATGTAGTAATTTCACAGTCAGAAACTGGAAATTCCTACAGCTGCTTGCAGCAACAAAAGTTTCCTATTCCTAATCAGTTAAAATTGGTATTACTAGCTGCCCTCAAATCTCAGTTAGTGTTGTAAGATTTGCTATTCTACCTCCACCTTTTCTCATATACCAATACAATATGTACATAGATGAGAGCCTTGACCTGATTTACGTATCTCATCTCTGCATTGTACACATTTGAAATAAGTTAGAGAGAACGCGTTGATCAGATATTGAGCATCAAGGAATGAAGACACATAATCATCAGTGCAGTGTCAGTCAATATTCTCAATCTTACAAAAATGAGCTATAATCTACATATAACAAGACTTTCAGTCCATGAACAGATTTATTTTAAATATCAAAATTTATGTCTGCTGCAGTGCAAAGCCATCTCTATACTAAAAACAAACTTAGAAATGCCACAGTTAAAGTAATTTTTGCATCTAAGGATAAAGAAACTGTACTATGTTTTGGGGTGGGTTTTTGTGCATGTAGGATTTTCTGTTTTGGTTAAGTTCAAAGCTGCATGCTTCTAAAAGGCTGTTCTCTAAAAGACCAGCAAGTGCTTAACAAGTGTTCCCACTTGTCACATAATTTCAGTTCTTTAGGAAAAGGTCAGGGGGAGCTTGACCTGTTTTAAATGTGGAAATACCTCTAATTTTAAAAGAATGCAGTCACCATGACTATCAAGTGACATACCAAGAGATGAATACCCACATACACAAGTGACACTGGGAGATTTTAATATTTGCCTTCAGCAGCAAGCAAAAAGGTCTGTGAGTAGGGCCTTTCAAATTGGAACACAATTGTGGAAAAGCATTTATGCAAAGTTGAAGAAACTGTTTTCTACTATTTGATATTTATAAACTACATCTACTTAGAATTCAACTTCTTTTCAATGCCAGAGTGAAACTGAAATCCTGTACCCCAGAAACAAGAACAACCACAAAATTGTCAGAGGCTCTGACAAACTGCCAGAAATATTAATATCGTATCAATGAATCAGACAAAACCGAGAACCCAATTGGGCAGAAAGCTGTGAAGGAGAACAACACGCATTCACCAGCTCACAAGCTACATTTTGTACTGATGAGATGGGACTAAGAAACATTTCAAAATCCCAGGTGCAAGAAGAAATTCACTTTGCAACCCAAAAGGTGTTGCCTAGCCATCAGTAAAGGACAGTCTGTGTTGTATTGATGCTGTTCAGCTGACAGGAGAAATTAACTCCAGACCACTTGTTGCCTTTAGATTAACATACCATTTTTTCCACAAGTGCCAAAATGTTAGCACAACAGACTGGCCAAGCTCCAATTCATAATTGCTTTCCGAAGGCTTAAAAGCTTGCTGCAGTTTCAGATAGAGCATTCTTTCCTCACTGGTATCATGTGTTTTGCTGGGATCTAATTGGGTTTCAAATTAATATTAGTTCAGACTTTGAACATAAAATAATCAATACCCAAATGCAGAAAGTGGTGTATTCACTTTACTCATTGCGCTCTTCCTTCCAAGTCAATACTGGACCAGTGCCCAAGAAACAAGTGGTGGCACAGTCCTTAAGAAGATCCAACTGGAGGTCCTGACTACTTGCAGTCAAAGAGCATATGACACTTCCTCCAAAAATTAAAGAACATAACCCCAGAACACCAGTCGCAATACCAGTTCTCAGAATCATATTCTGCGTATTCAAACTCCATAGTACCCACTTTCTTGCTAAAACCATTGTGCAGGGATGCTGCCAGTGGCAAATTGTCTGAAAAATTCAGTAGTGGATAAACTGGCCTACAGCACAAACCCTGATTACAAGGCCAAGGTGTGTACAAAGTGCAATCTAACTTTTACATTCCACTCTACCCATCTCATTATGAAAATCCTACAAAAGGGGGTGGAGAAAAATAGTTAACAGTTTTTATTTCTTTATCTTAAATATGACATTTGAGTGGATAATTCACATAAGGACTGATGACCTTAGTCATACAAAAAATAAATGAAAGCCTATGTACTCATATGGACAGAAATCTTTTCATAACTTACTGAATCAACTATTTCAACAAAGTACTATTTTAACAAGCAGTAGTAAGTGGTATCTATAATTAAAACAGTGAAAAATGTATTAATGACATGAAAGCAAAAAAAATTTTTTTAAGCACATCTTGTGAATTCTTACTCACACAAAAGAAACTGATTTTACTTTCAGTTTCCAAGGTTCTTTCACATAATGTAAGGACTGCACTATAAATCATAATGTAAAAACAGAATTAAAAAAACCACACATATCAAGACTACAAGCTGTCTCAGTTGTGAGAATACAGACTGCATTCATCATGATACCATACTGAAAAAGCTGGTATCTGGTCTTTAATAAATATTACAAGATGTGTTTATGCAAATATAAAATACAAGGTGGTCTTTCAGAATAAGAACACCTCGTTATAAACTAGTGATCCAAATGCACACAGCAGAAAAAAAACATTTCTTTACTAGAACTCACACTCAGTTTGTATTAGGACAAAATGGCGCACATGTCTGTGCACAGAGAAAACCGCTATCAGAGTTTATCAGGTAATAGGCACTAAAAAGAGCAGGCAACTTAGGGGACGCAACAGGAATAACAAAGTTTTCTTTGGGAATAACCAGAAAGAAAGCATAGCCACACAATCCAGCAGCAGTACTTACGCATCATACCTCTGCAGTGCTGTCACTTTGTTCTTGTTCTTGTCAACTGTACCCGTAGATAATTGGAGAAAGTTCGGGTTTAATTTGTACAATTCTTGCAGTAGTTTCTGTTCATATTCCTGGTGCTTACCCGCCTAAGGAAAGAGACACTCACAATAAATGAATACTGGTTTAATATGTATTTTATAGATATCAAAAAATATTTTTAATATATAAATGTACATATGTACATCCCAAAGCTTAGTAATTGAGCTTTAACAACTTAATGAGTCAGTCCTGACTGAAACTCAAGAGTGCTTCTCCATCTCAGTATGTATGTCATCTCAACAAATCTAAAGCTTGGCTAGAAATCATTTGGATGTATTTACCAATTTGTAATTTTTTTTGAGACTCCCTAAAGCAGAAAAATAGTTACAGTTGTCTTAGAACTTGCTCTTCAGTTCAATCAAGAGTTTCACAATATACCTTTTAAAAATCTCCAAGGTAGTCTGCATTTGATATATCAACCATACTAGCTTTCCAGCAGATAGGAAGGAGCAAAAAGTCTCTCTTTTAAACCAAAAGTTTCAAAATGGAAGTAATTTTATATCAGCGTAATAAAAATAGCTGAGGTGCTCAGACTGTTAACTACAACATGACAAGGAGTACATTCTGAGCAATAACTGATAAATCATTCTTTTCAATAACTGAAAAAAATAAATATTCTTTTAACTAATTGAATTAATTAACTGAGAACAAGTTCTTGCTTTCAGAAATTGAGAAGGCCCAAACCAACTCCAGAATATGGAATCTGGTGAATGAAGGAAGAGAGTATTTTTTCAGTCTAGCTTATCCTTAACATTCTGTGGCTAAATATTTAAAACAAAACCAGCAAGATCCACACCCTAACATTTAAAAGGACATCTGAAACAAACTGAAGATGAGCATTCACATTTTTTGTAGGTTGTTATACCACTCCAATCTAAAAATTACTGTTTGCAAGTTAGGTACTCTAATGAGTTGAATCAAGATGCAAAATAAAAAAGTGAATTTGAAGTTGTCGATTGTATCTGAAAACTCTAAATAAAAGCTAAGAGATGTACTTTAGCAAAGGAAACAAGCACCAAGATTTATGGTCAGGCCTAAATCTTAAGTCTGGAACACACATTCTATTATCTATTACATCTTCAGCATTGATTTAAAAGCTCTCAAACTACTTGTACACCTAAAACATCACATTTGTACATTACTTAATCCATTCCATTTACACATGTTTTGTGCATCAATTCCATTCCTGTTTCAACATCCTCCCAGAAAAATATTACAACCTAAAAAAACCCTATTACATGCTTTATTAAAAAAAATGTAAG